AGATGGTGCTTGTACCTTGATCTCTGAGGCATCAATAATACCACGGCATTTAGGATATAACAATTTAAAACACCTAGGCATATGTTTGTCAATTTTTGCCCGAGAGGGCCATATAGGAATGGTTCCCAAAACAAAATAGAGAAAGTTAACCCAAGAAATAAAAACTCTACTCACAGTTGAAATAGAAATATCAAATTCACTGGCTAGTTTCTCATTAAAAGTACCCAGCCTCAGCTTAGTAATGCATAAATAAAACTGATCAAATAAGCTAAGTTTGCATGTCTTGAGAGTGTCTCTCATGTTACTTATATCTTTCCCACTTTTTGCTCGTGCTCTCTGTACTTGGGACCATGAAAACATACTTTCAGCTGTGGGTCTAAGGGCATTGAAGGTACTCACAAAAATAGCAAATGACGAAAAGCCAGTATGGAATCTAACGCGTTTGTCTGACATCCCTTTCAGTTGTCTGTAAAAAGATTGTTTTGAAAGCAGCTGTTCTAATTGTTCGATACGAGCTTGCGCTGCCTCAAGTAGCTCTTCTACAGGCTTTTCGGGTTCAGTAAATAAATAATCATGTAGGTTGACAGTAGGTGTTATGATTGTGGTGTCAGTAGTTACGGTGGAGTCCTCCATGTGGCTGCTAGTATCGATGACATTTTCGTCTACGCTTGAATCTTCGATGGGCCCAATTTCGACTGTGGGAATGTAGAAAATAACATGTTTAGAAATATTTAGGGCGGGCCTAAAGTACGATTTCATAAAAAATAAATACCTGTAGAGGAGATTGGCTGTATATTATCCACGACATCAATCTCGGTTGTGTTAGTACGTGTTGTGCATTCGCGTTTCGTTGGTGACTTTCGTTTCTTTGATAAAGTTGTCCATTCAAAAACGGATGGTACAGCACCATTAACGAGTACACTTTTTCCTGTTAGCGTTTTTTTTATATCTGTGGGTTTAAAATGATCAGAGCAAACTCTTGTACTGTTGGTTATCTGAAAGATATCGGAAAAAATATAAGGTTTGCTATATAAACAACGCTGAAACGACGCTAAACTGAACTATGATATATAAAAGGCCATTTACCTTGAAGGACCGGCCGACATCACGCTTAATTTTTATAATCCACTGTCT